TTTTTTTTTTTTTTTTTTTTTTTTGTTATATTGCACAGTTTAAAAACATTGTTCCTACCGAGGAGGAGAAACATACGCTTTCGTTGGACTCATTTTTCAAACAAAAAAATGACTTGACTAGGAATGAGATTGCATCAAGCCCCACTACTCAGCATCCCAACAATGTTGATGTTATAGCACGTCTCGACTCAATCAGCGCGGAACTCGAGGGCTTGAAACAGGCCTTTTTCGAGTTCTCAAGGCGTGTTATGGCCGAATTTGAGTTGTTTAGAGAAAAATTCATTGTAAGTCAATGTTATCTCCATTGAACTTATTGTTATTGAAGTTGTGCTGCACGTACGATATATATGTGTTTGGGTATTTTTTAATGGCAATTCTTAGTAGATAAAATCTGTGGATATATGTTAATTATATTTTAAGTTTATTTACTGGTGCATATATCATAGTGCCATTTTGATTTGCAGTCAATTATATTTTTTGATTTAAATTGTGTTTGGTGGACTGTACGTTCATTTCTTGTACTGTACGTTCACTTAATAACATTTACATGATACATCAGGATGGTTCAAGTAAAGAACATCACACAGACAGAGAAAACACGAGCGAATTTCGTGATGTGAATGAAATTCCTGATCATAATATTCACATTTCATCAGAAGAAGAGACGGTTTGTTTTCTCGATATTAATATTTATTGTCAATATCACATTTTATAGTTAACAACTCTATGAAAGTAGGTGTATATTTAGTGTTTGTTTTCCCTATAAATGAAGTATATTTTCTGTATATTCAGTGTTCTTATTGCAATGATAGTATTTTAAAGTTTAATTATTTTTGTCATATAATTCTATTGCAATGTTAAGGTATATTTGTAGACAACTTTCTAATACATTCAAGGTTTTATTTGCATGATATCTTAGTTAATAATACACTTTTTTTTGCTTGAACACCTTGGTTTTAAATTGGAGGTCTGAGTTTTTTAGTATATTTTCCAGTTTATTGATCACAACTTGTACCTAAAATGCTTAGTTCAATGATAATTTTGTTTTTCATAACACTTTTTTATTTCAGCTCAAAGATATGCAATGTTTATTTTCAGTCATATGTTACTTTTTTTATTACTGATTTTTATGACATTGTAGTAATTTTTTTTTTTTTTAAAATATGTATAGCCTTTACAGAAGCTAGCTGACGTTAATGTTGAGACCTCAAATGAGGTATCATTATCTTTTTAAATTTTCTTTAAACGCATATGAAGCACGAGTTTCTTTTGTTTATATCTTCCTTTTTTCTAAAAAAAACAGACGAGTGTCAAGTCTCCCATCAGAGCCTTCAGAACAAAATCTGAAGCACTTATGAAGAGCAAAGCAGACAAAGTAAGCATATCATTTTACAAAATATACCCAACTACATATGTCATTAAATTTCAAACATTTCTTTTTTATTATTACTTTTTTTTTTGTTAGTTTGTAGCAGTACAAACCTTGCCACAACCTGTTAGCCATGTGCCAGTTCAGAATGCACCCGAACCCGATGTCCATGTACCAAGTGGTGCCGACGACGACGACCCATTTCCCTTGATTAACACCCAATTTTTAGAGGAAATTGACCGGACTTTGCAGGAAAAGTTGAATGAATCATCCAAGGCGAAAGCACCGGTAAAAATACACTCGCTGTAATTAAGTATATGTTAGCCATATAAGCACATATTATTAAACATGTCGAAATTTATACAAAATCTTATTGATATTTGTTTTTGGTTTTCAAGAGAGGGTTCACCTACGAGCCACACCCCATATTTGGTTATGCATTTAATGGATCACAACCGTCGTTTGATGCTATAACTGCTGGTCTACCCCCGACACCACCACAAAAAAAAAGCTATTCCAGATCAGCAAAATAATGTAATATTCATCACTTGATTTTTTTTTTATTATCTTGATTTAGTCTTTTAAGTTCAATATTAATTGTCTGTTTCGGATTTTTTTTCGCTACACTATTCAGTCCGCACATGTCCAGCAGAATGTAGATGAAGAGAGATTCAATACCGGACCTGTCGGTAAGAATGTAATGGGGAATGCGTGGTTTTTTTGGTTATATATTTGGTATATCTTTGGTACAGTTTTCTCTGCTCCTCTGTTATGTGTTTGCTATATGTTGAGTATATCTAAGGTAACTTTTCTCTCTTGTTGATAAATTTGATAGCTAACCTCAATTGTTTTTTTTTTTTTTTTTTTTTTCCAGTTAATATTGAGTATATTTTGATATACATCAACTTGTGATTGCCTGATTTTACGGAACATTTTTAACCTTCACTCTTTTTATGAAATCTTTATTATTTTTTTTTCATGTCTCATTATATGTTTGGTATATTTAATATTATACTTCCACAAATAAAAAAAAAAAAACGAGATTATAAAATTTCTATGCTAGTTATTTGGTTATACGTTGGGTATATATGAGTTAAATGTCTATCTATTTTTGTAATAATTTTGATGGCTACTTTGAAAATGTCTTTTTTACGTTTAATTCTGATTATATGTGGGGTATATCCAATGTTAAGTTGCATTTTTTTCATATTAAAAGTCAAACATATAACATACATATACCCATAATGGGGGATGCATTAATTTCAGAACCTGCGGAAAAGAGTGAAGCTGCAAAGGGTGTTAATCGAGGACCTGTTCAGGTCCAGCAGGAGGATGTAGCTGAAAAGGGATTGAATGCCGTGCAAGACAATGCACGGGGAAATAGTGCTTTGGTGGTTTATGATCCAAAGGTAGATTTTGTGAAGAAAACCACAAAAGCAAGAAAAAAGTTGATGACAGATGTTCCTGTAAAGATACGACTTCAGCACTCGCGCCCACTAGCCGACGATTTTGATATAACTATATCTGGAAGAGTGCAGACGAGAGCCTACGATGAGTGGATTGCTGAAGGAACTTTACAATGTGCCCCTCGTAAAGTCGCAAACGGGTATGGTAAACCGCAACAACTACATTATTTTTTACTTCGTGCAGTCTAACATGTTATATTAAAAAGCATATAATTCATACTTACATTGATAAAACTGCTCCCAGCAGCCTTTTTGGTATACTTTTGGTATATTTTCTGGTAGATATAACACAATCAATGTATTTATTACACAAATATACTAGTTACAGTGTATATATATATAAAAAATTGTAATAATTGTTTTTATATATACCCTACATCTACTAATAAATATTTTAAATGATGTCAGGTACAATTATTATAAGGTAAAGAGCAAAAACTTGCCAACACCGTTTGATTTCAACGTTGCTTCTGTGACCGACAAGAATTGGTTCTATCACATTAATGAGACAGGATGCTTCCTTGACAGCAGTGTAAGTACAATATTGACAACAGTTTTCTCTGCTCATATGCTTGTTTATACTGTTTCACTTATATGATGACTTTTATTTTATTAGATACATTTTTTCATTATTTTTTTTTTTTTGTCTTTCTTCATACTTGACAGTTGTTTTTATTTTCGACAGCACTTGGATGTTCTTTTTTATTATTTGAGGAAGTTTGGCATATATGGGAACGCCGCAGTCAGGTTCACAACGACAGATGTGTTGTTCGACCAACACATCAAGTCGTTGTACACGTCCTTTTTGTCTTAGTCTCGTAAACTTTCTGTATGCACGATAGCCGACATGATCGTTGACTACATCACGGGGTATAAGATCATATGTGGACTTTCTTGGTTTAAGGTTGATCATGTCATATTTCCGATCCATTTGGAAATAAATAATGTCGGTCATTGGATTATGGGTCTATTGTCCTTTGATGATATGAAACTTCGAATCTACAATTCAATTCGCACACAAGATTGTGATAATCTTGTTATGGAGAATGTGAAGGCGTATGTTGAGCTTATCCCCATTTTCCTTGACTTGGTGAAGTTCCCCAAGAAAGCAGCGCACGGTCCACTTGAGGTTGTTATGGTGGATAATGTTCCCCAGCAGCTAAATAGGTAAACTAATTCATTCAGTTATGTTTAATTGCCAATTTCGTTTTTAACTAATTTAATTTAGCAATTCGATCTTATAGTTGTTAATTTTTAGTTTAATTATTACTATTCTTGGCAGCGACTGCGGGATATATGTGGCCTCATTTGCCGAGTATTTCATTGCTGGTCATGACATTACCAAATCGAACATTGATGCTACTGTCCAGAGGCATAGATATGGTTATCTTCTATATACTCATGGTCTAATGAAACAGACTAATGGGTTTGAGAGTGACGATGAATCACCCGGTACCTTGCCTGATGAAGTTCGTTTTGGCTTTCTGAATGTTCTGCATAAATAGTAGAACATCTCTTATTCCTTTTTTTTTTTTTGTTTTCGGGGTGTATGTTTCAGACCTTATTATGTGTGCGTATTTTGTTTATGTTTTAGGTTGGAAAACAATGTGTAGGAAGATTTACATTGCTTAAACATATATTACTGCAAGGTTTATTTTTGTTATATCTTTGGTATATGTACTGTTTTTTTTTTTAATTTTCAAATCTCTGGTATATCCAATGTTTTTTTGTTATATCTCTGGAATATTTTTCAACTTATATTACATATACTATCTGATGGTTTATTTTATATATTTTTAAAATATATAAGTGGTTATGATTGTGCTAGGTATTAATATGACAATTGTGGATGTGAACCTGTGACGTTTGGTTTTATTTCTAGTTATATGCTTGGTATATCCAGTTATATGTGTGGAGTATATGAAATGTTATGTTCCAGTTTAATTTACACTCTTTCAATGTTTTTATTCTGATTATATGTGGAATATATGCAATGTTATGCTACATTTTATCCTATATGAAGTCAAAAAATATAACAGATAAGTACCCATAATATAACATAAATATATACATAATATAACTTAATACATTTTCTGCTTTATACTCACACAGAAAAATAACAAACATATACCAATATGATACTTAAAAAATACGCATATTAATACAAACCCAAAAAAATATAAACTCCAGAATAATTTGGATGTGATCTTATTTTGTGTCGAACAATTTGGTAAGTGGTTATGATTGTGCTAGGTATAATATGACAATTGTGTATATCAACTTGTGATGTTTGGATTTATTTCTAGTTATGTGTTTGGTATATCTTGTTATATGTTTGGTATATCTAATAGTATATCTAGTGTACTTATATATATGGTTGGTGGAAATTATCTTTCTGTAATATGTTGGGTTATGTGTGAAGTATATGCAATGTTACATTCCATTTTACCTTACACTCTTTTTAATGTTTTTTTTCTGATTATATGTGGAGTATATGCAATGTTATGCTACACTTTATCCTATTATAAGTCAAAACATATAAGAGAAATGTGTGCATTTTAATACAAACACAAAAAAAAAACTCCAGATTAATGAATTAATAACGATTCCAATTATACATAACAATTCTTATACTCTCATCTTTTCAGATTCCTACAAGTTTTCACATTGTGGCCTTTCTCATTACACTTGTTGCACCTATTTTTTGACCTATGCTCCCATCCCGACTTTACCCGTTGTTTGAGTGGTCGCCCGGGCCTTACTCGTGCATTTGGGGGACTTATCAATGTACGGTCAGATTGCCCTTCACTCGTGAATGCTATATTTCCTTCAATTGGTATAACAGCATCCTCATAAGTTGCCAACAATGTAGAGTTAAGGTAGTGCACTGAACAGAATGGAACGGGATCCAGGTGGAGTGACTTTATAACACGTATAGCGTGCGGGCACGGCAACTCATCAACTTGAAATCAGTGGCATGTGCAGCACTTTGACTCCGTGTCAACTATGAAGGCTTTACCGTCAGCTATCACTTTATACACTTTGTCACTGGCTTTCTGCACCTGTTACACATTTTAGTATATTGTAAGTATATTTTCGGTATATGTTATGTACATATGTTCCCAAAAAATAAAAAAAAAAAAACAAAAACAAAAACAAAAAAGAAGTAAAATAAAAAGAAAACCATTAATACTTACATAATATCTTGCTGCTATTTTGTAATTAGTTTCCAACATAGTATGTGGCTTCTTTGCAAGAGTAGTAAATGTGCCCTTGGCTTCATCCTTGTTTGCCACATTCCATCTCTGTTGCATTTCTCTAAGAGCCTCTAGTAGTGTTGTTATCGGTAGGTCACGAACGGTTCGAATGGCAGCATTTATTAACTCAGCAGCATTAGATGTCATGGTAAAGTATCTATTATTGGGGCAATGAACTCGTGCCCACTTTTGAATGCCGATTTTTTTTAGATAAGTTACGACATTCGGATTCAACTTCATTAATTGAGACATATGCATATTGAATTCCTCTACGGTATATGCTCTTGCTGCTGCATAAAACTCCTCTTTCACTGCCTGTGCCTCAGTCTTGTAATGCATCTTCAATTTGTTTGAGATATGATAGGTGCATAGACAATGCGCCGCATTGGGAAATACCTATATAAATATAATTGATGATTGATCATTTTGAGTAATAATTAATTTAAATATGTGTGTGTGTAAATCAAAAAACAACACGCTGTTCGTTGTATCATCAGTATATTCACCGGTAAATATACCCAATTATAACTCAAAATATACCATTACCTGCTCCACAGCGTGTCTATACTTTCGTGACCATCTGAAACAATGCATAGACCAACCCTCTCACCGATAATAGCTTGCAATTTTGTAAAAAACCACATGTATGAGTGGTTGTTTTCCGAATCAACAACACTAAATGCAAGTGGTAAGATGTGAGAATTTGCATCTTGACAACATGCTGTTAACAAAAGTCCCCCGTATGCCGAAGTAAAAAATGTGCCATCGACAATAACAATTGGTCGACAATGGGCCCATCCTTTAACAGATGCTCCAAGAGACATGAAAACATACAAGAGATTCTTCTCCGGAGTGGTGCTCACCTTAAAAATGCTACCCAGATTTGATGCACGTACCTTCAAAAGATACTGATGAACATAATTGTAAGATTCATCAACTTTGCCACGTACTACATCAATAGCTTTCCGTTTCGACCTCCACGCTTTTTGGTACGTCAAATTTATCCCAAAACGAGTTTGCATGTCGTCAACGATATCAAGGGGATTATATGTTGTCTTCGTGTTCGCAAATTTCGTCTTGATAAAATCGCTAACAACAGTTGAGGTCGCTTGTCTCTGGTTACTTGTTCGAACATCAAATGGACATACATGTTCAGTCCCGACAGCTCTTATTTTAAAGGTGTTTGACTTACCCAAGCGTGATGCTCTCACAAACCATGAACAATCATTCCACACACACCTTACACAGTATTGTTTGGAGCACGACTTCTCCACCCTGAATTGATACTGATGTTTAATAGCATGCATGGTCAACAATTTCTGAAGATCTTTTTTATCCTTTAGCAAACGACCAGCAACAATACCATAGTCAACATTTTCTTCTAATGTCACCCCCATCTCACAGTCAGGGTATATGTTGAGTATATTTTCGGTATATGCGACAACTTCTACCATATTTGCAGCAGCATTCCTTGCGAAAGTCATGAAATTAAGCGAGTCATCTTCGACATCAGGATAACTGTCAAGATTTGGATAACTCAAAGATGCAACATTTGACTCGGAATTCATAGTAGACATATTCCGTTCATTATCCAACGACTTTCCAGCAACACTATGAGCCTTCACCTCCAAACAAATAGGAAACTTCGTGTAGTCATCGTCTTTGGACCTCAAGAAAAAGTAGAACTTAAGGCTTCTATTGTCTTTTATGGCTATTGGTGGACTCCCTTCCTTCAGTTTGTATTTCAGTTCGACTACAGAAGATTGGGACATCACTCCGAACTCATCAGATAATGTACCACATAAATCTTTGAAGTTGCAATCCTTTCTTATCAACACACCAGTCAAATTGTAATTCACATACTCGTTTTGGATCCATTCACCCCCATGTTGTACGAAGATCATCATGCTCGACTCCATCTACAAACCAAAAAAAAAAAACCAAAAAAAAAAATAGCGACACAAACATTAATATACGTTTAAACAATCAAACACGAACAGAATACTTTAACCACACCGATAAAATTACGTAGATATACCTCGATCGGAGTATATTTTTTTGCTGAATTATCGGTTTGCAAAATCCCGGACTGGTTGCAGAAACTCCAAATCGGACTACAAATTATGTCGGGTCACGATTTTTTGTAGAAGGGTATATGTTCCGTGATTTTTTTTTTTTCTCTTCCGTCGCGATTAACACAATTGTTGCCACTCTTTCTGATTTTCAAACCATCGTATCGTTCCCATAAAATGAGGGATGATTCGAATTTAAATTGAAGATTAGTTTTTTTTTTTTTCCTTTTTTCTGTTGGTAGACTTGGCTTAAATCACGACAACTGATGCTGGAGTGGGGTAAGTTACCTTGTAACTGATATTGATGCATTATAATAAATAAAATAGTATCTTTAGGTATAGTTGTAAATATTTTTATATAAGGATAAAATCGAAAATAATTATTTATCTTACAGCATGGATAAAAATTTCCCAATTTTATTTGCAATCATACTATTTTTAAGGATTTTAATCGCAGAGCTACAATATATCAGTTACGAATGCCA